GGGACTGCCTCTCTAAACCGAGACAGTTTTCTCTCTCCTGAAAAAAAAATGTTTTATCCCCAAAGAACATGACATGGCTAAATAATAGTTAGCATATGGCATCAGATTAAGAAATCTGAGATTAGGCTATCGCGTTAAAAAAAACATTTTCATAGAATTCTTCTTCGAGGGACAGACTCCTCCGTCCACGATTCATAAACGTCCTCCTCTGCCTTCTGAGGGGTGTTCCACTGTTTGGGTCACAGAGTCAGTGCCTTCTCTCTCCTTTGTATGGATCTGTTGAGACAAAATTCAACAACTCTCAGCCAAGACCACTCTCACATTTGCCTTCATTTGAAACAGAACTGAAAAGCTTATCACAGAACATCTGTGTTACTAATAAGTACAATCTTATGTATTGGCTGGTTTACCGAAGTAGGGCAGTGGCATCTAGTCCTGGATCGGCCTCTCCCACGGCTGACAATTTTCTCTTCGTCAGAAACTGCCCTTCTTTGGGACATGGACACACTTAGTCCTCGATTCATTGCTTTGTTGAACATAGGGTCCAAGGAATGTGAAAAATCAGCTTGAAAAAATCTGCAGAAATAGCAAGGTTGTCTCTTCAAAAGATTTTTCACAGACTGATGATTTTGGAATATGATGTTCCATTGATTTTGTTTGATGATGATATAGTAATCATCACTATGGTAACTCAGAACTCATCTGATTATGATCAGGGAATCAGCATCATGAGTGATGACATCACAATGACAGGCCAGTGAGGCCACCAGTAAGGAATATGTTGCTAATTCTATGGTTGCTATAACAAAATCTAATTCTAGAACCAAATGGGCTGGAATATTTCTAATTCCACAAAATGCCATGGCCTAAGGTGGCTGACAAGGTTCAGAAATACACACTCACAATTAAATGTATATCAAGTGTGATATATGAACAGTGACAAATCCTAATGTTCTAATGTTGATAAATACCAACTATTTGTTGCTTGGGTTGTGTGTAGTTATTTACCAATGCAGCTATTCAATATCATGCTTGCCTACCTCAATTACAAGTTTTAAATTGGCCCACTATATAGACTTTGTCTGCGACAGCAGCAAGAACCTATAAAAACAACAACAAAAACATTGAGATGTGAATGACTCCAGCATGAACTCGCTCACAGTTTTAAAATGTTTTATTTAACGCCACTATTTCTCACAGTATCTAGCATTTGCTAAATGCTAACTGTTTACACAGTTCAAAGCATCTAGCGTTAGCTGAATCCTAACTTTTTAACTGTGTCTCCTCTTCCCGCCCCAGGTTTATGGTGCCGCCATCCAGTTCTACGAGGCGTTCCCACGTGAGTGTCTCTCGGAGCGGCAGAGCGTGCGTCTGGGCCTGGTGAGCGTGGTGGACCGGCGTCCCATCACCAACCGCACCCTGCAGGTGAAGAAGAGCGTGTGTGTTCTCTCCCACTGGCCCTTCTTCACCGTTTTCCAGAAGTTCCTCACCTTCGTCTACCGATACTCCATCTCCGGACCCCACGTGCTGCCCCTCGAGAAGTCAGTGGCCCTTAATGGCAAATATCACCTATGTGTCTTTATAAACCTAAACTTGCTAATCTACTGGCTAACATACCGTAGGCCTATAAGCTATTGATTCATGTTATGGTTGGTTGTTTGGTTGATTTATTAGCATGAACTCTGCTCTCTCCAGGCACATCTCCAGCTTCATGCACAACGTCCCCTTCCCCTCCCCTCAGCGGCCTCGCATCCTAGTGCAGGTATGGATACTTGTTTTTAACTCAATTCACATTCTCTCTGTTATCTTTATTCCTTTTTAACACATCAAAGCACTTTAAAGCATCAGAAGAGTGGAATGGAAAACCTTGCTAAGCATTGATTTAGCTCAGGGCAATACAGAAGGCAGCATTAAAACACCTAATTCAAGTAAGGCATGACTGTGATTATTAGTTGAGTCAGGTGTTTTAGTGCTAGTTTAGAACAATACCTGCTTGCTCTGTGTGTGTGCTTGTATGTGCCTGTTTGTGCATTACAAGTGGAACCTCCGCTTGAGTTCTATTTGAACTTGACACCAGTAGCATTGTGGTGTTTTACGCTAAAGATTTGACTTCTTCCCCCACAGGAAATGGGCTTTGAATGAATTGATGGTTTCACTGGTTAGTGTGTGAAGATGGACTGGGTAAAAATAACACCCAATCAAAACAATCTATAATATACTGTGGATATAAAATTATTTCACAAAACACTGAATGATCCTTCTGGCTCTAGAAAGTAGAGACGATTGTTTAAGTAGTTTGGGGATTTCTAGAAAACTCAAATCGAGTCAAATGGGGCTTTTCAAACTTGATTCCTAATGGCTTGTTTCAAATCAACAGATATTAATTTGGTGGTCTATGAAATTGAAGCATGGCTAAACTTTCTTCCTTAGACCTATAGATTATTGTCCACCATGTTGGTTTGTTAATGAAAACTGTGTGTGTGTCATTTCAGCTCTCCCCCTATGACAACCTTCTACTGTGTCAGCCCGTCTCCTCCCCCTTACCACTCAGGTCAGTACAGTAAATCTGCATTAGGTTGAGTCACAATAAACTGTGTGGTGTAATGCGTTATTGTGCGCTAGCGCTCCAACAATGCCTTAATTTCCCCTGAGGGATTTCTATTATCATATTGAAGTGAATCCATTAATACAATAATTAATTGATAAAGAGACTGTTCTTTTCTGTCTGTAGTGGTGCCAGCTTTGTGAAGCTGCTGCAGAACCTGGGCCCTGAGAATGCCTGTGTCCTGCTGCTGGCCGTGCTGACGGAGCACAAACTATTGCTCCACTCCCTCCGCCCCGATGTCCTCACCTCCGTCAGCGAGGCCCTGGTGTCTGTGAGTCACACACACACACGCATGCAAAACCTACACACACACACACACACACACACAACACCACCACACACAAAGACATATGCGTACACACACTCATCCTAATCAAAGAATGCACTCTATCCCTCCAGATGACGTTCCCTCTGCGTTGGCACTGCCCGTACATCCCCCTGTGCCCACTGCGGCTGGCAGACGTACTGTGTGCCCCCATGCCCTTCATCGTGGGCGTCCACTCCAGCTACTTTGACCTCTATGACCCCCCTACTGACGTGGTGTGTGTTGACCTGGACACCAACACCATCTTTCAGTGAGTACACTGACCTTGAAGGAACTGGACCTGATGCAACTGATGGAAGAGGACGCAACAAAAACCAAACATACAAAGGATGAAATCCATAGTTTTGTGTTCTCTTCTCCTGCAGAGCAGAGGACAAGAAGCCGTTGTCATGGCGATCGCTACCAAGGAAGCATGGCAAGATGCTGGTGAATACCCTCACCAACTTGATGAAGACCTTGGAGAAAAGTGAGTGATAGCCTACTTATTCTAAAGCTTATCTAGGGACTGATGCTGGAAAATAAGTACAAGCTAAAACATATTGGTGCAATACATCTGACTCTGATAATTCAATGTGCCAATGCTTTGTGTCTTCATCTTTTTCTCTCTGTCCCTCTCTCCACCACTACCCCAATTTCCCTCACTTTCTATCTCTCTCCCTCCCCCACACGTCCCCATCCATCAGTCTACACCCCTGGCCAGGAGGAGGCCACCCTGGAGTTCCTGCTGACGGACTATGACCTGATCTACGGGCGTCAGAAGCAGCTGGAGCTGGAGATCCAGGAGGCCTTCCTGCGCTTCATGAGCTGCCTGCTGAGGGGCTACCGCACCTACCTGCTGCCCATCACCCAGGCCCCCTCAGACAGGACCACCGACTGCAGCTCCCTCTTCAACCTGCAGGGTCAGTGTGGGAGGGGGTGACTACCTGTGTGTGTGACTCATAACTCACAAAAGATTGACACAAGTGTACACAAATATGATATAACATTCTGGCTGAGGATGTGTGTGTGTGTGGGTGGGTATTTTACCTCACCTACTTACTGTGTCCACAACCAACACCCTTGTGAAGCTAGTATTTTAATGTGTGTCTGAAGTTAACCCCTCCCTGGCTCTTGCAGGCTTCCTGAAGTCTCGTGAACGCACCCACCAGAAGTTCTACATCCAGCTGACCAGGACCCAGATGTTCACTCAGTTCATCGAGGAGTGCTCCTTCGTCAGTGACCGCCACGCCTGTCTCGAGTTCTTCGACGAGTGTGTCCAGAAGGTCAGAATCACATCTTCATGTTTTCCATAATGTTTAGTGATACACCATATCTTATGGAAGCCTTAGTGTATTGATTCCAATACTAAAACCGGATTTGTATTTTGTATTTACACAACTAATGGAAATGTGTGATCCCACTCCTGCCCTCTATGTTGTCAATGTTTGTGTATTCCTGTGTACGTGACCTGTGTTTGCGGCATGTATCTATATATATATATATATATGTGTGGTGTGTGTAAGCAGTCGGATGTGGAAAAGCCTGAGGAGGTGCGTCTGATAGACCTGGACGAGGCCCACAGTGGGGAGCACACAGTCTTCATCATGCCCCCAGAGGAACCCCAGGAGCCAGACGGTTCAGAGTGCCCCACTCACTACAGGTAACACAGGCACTACATATACCAGGGTTCGTGTTCACAAAGCTTCTCAGAGTAGACCTGATCTAGGATCAGTTTAGCCTTTTAAATCATAAATAATAAGAGGGTTGACCTGATTCTAGATGAGCACCTCCACTCGGAGACACTTTGCGAATAAGGCCCCAGCACTTACAGTAACTACTTTGTGTTTGTTTATATTGTCTGATGCTGTGACCAGTGACGGCGTGTTTGTCTGTTTACAGCTATGAGACGTTCCCTGTGCTCTGCATGGATCTTTTTGACCGGCCTCAGGACCAGCTACGTGTCCCTACCAAGGGGAGTGCCCCCAGCAGCCCTGCCCCGCGACGCACTAAACAGGTACAGACCCAAACCCGCCCCACACCAGAGCCCCTTAAAAACACACTACAACACCACTGAAAGCCAACACAACCCCAGTAGATCCACTGCACCAAAACTACTAAGAACTATACAATAATATTAAGAGGCTGACTCACACAGTTTAATTTCAATCTTTATTATTTATTAAGAGCTTTACCCTGCCTGCAAATCAAAATCAAATGTATTAGCACCAATCAACTTGATCTGTTCACGACTCCCCAGTTAGCTTTATGATAACCCAATTTGTCCACAGCCAAAGAGGGAACAGGCTTCACTGTTTTTCTGTGCCATTTTAATTAATGAGCATAAATGTTTCATCCTTCATTCAATATTTAAAAGCAGGAAGCACAGTGGCGGCTGTGTATTTTGGGTGAATACCCCAAGCACCCTTCAGGGTTGTTAAGTTCGCCTACTAGGACACATAGGAACCACATTATTACGGCTTTAGTAAATCTAGATTGGATTACCTAACTCCTCTGTGTCGCTGTCTCTCCTTTAGGAGATTAAGCTGGCACAGAAGCGGGCACAGATATACTCGGCAGTGCCCGACATGTGGTCCAAATGCCTGCTGGGCCACTGCTAGGGCTGTGGTTCATCTACCTGCCCACCTTTGTGCGGGCGGAGAGTGCCAAGGTGCGTGCCTTGCAAACGGCCTACGAGGTGCTCAAGCACATGGAGACCAGGAAGGTGGTACTACCGGATGAGGTGTGTTACAGGATCCTGATGCAGCTGTGTGGGCAGTACGGGCAGCCTGTGCTCGCTGTTAGGGTACTTCTGGAGATGAAGAAAGCTGGGATCACACCCAACACCATCACCTATGCATACTACAACAAGGTGAGCCATTATTTACATGAATTAAAAAATGAGTTGAACCACGTCTGTGATCCCATCTGTAGTGTTGTATTTTTTCTTTCAATATTGACTCACCTCTGGCTCTGCCGTCTCTCCTCAGGCAGTGCTGGAGAGCAAGTGGCCCTCTACCAATCAGGGTGGCCGTCTGCGCTGGGCCAAGTTGCGTAACGTTCTGATGGCCGTGGCGCAGTTCAGACAGCCAATCAGACAACGGCAGAAGAGTGGTTCAGTAGGCTCGCGGACAGGTCAGGACAGGACATATTTACATGTTGTTGTTTTTTACTATTGTTTGTAACAATAAATGGTAATTGAGCCTAATATGCATGGTTTTAAACAAAATCATTATATATGTAAAAACATAGAGGTGAAACATGTTTTGTCTTTTTAAAAAGATGTTACAATGGACAGTAACCAACGGTCCCGCCCACAATATAACTTGATTCGTCAATCCAGCTGGAGTGGCCTGAGTGAAAGCTCCAGCCACGAATCGCTGACGGGGTCTATGGTGAAGAGCAACAGCCTAAACAGCATGAGAGGCTCAAAAGACAGTGAGTGACATATATCTATTATATGGTAATAGCACTGTAATTGGAATGTTATATAATGTTTAATATAACATAACACTCTCATCAAACAACTGTGTCTAATGTTTGGGAACCACCCTCCTAACAATTTCCACCCCACAGAGTCTAAGCTCTCAAGGAAGGCGGTGCTCCGGAACGCAGGTGCCAATGGCTGCAGCGACCCTGCCTCCCGTAAGCCCCCCGTGGGGACACGAGACACCTCCACCCCTTCTCCCTTTCCCCCTGGTGGTGTCCTGGTGCGCCGCGACCAGGTGTGCCTTTCCACCTTTTACAAAGACTGTGCTGAGGCGGCCGACTCTGAGCCCGACTTCAGCTGCCAGCCTGGGGAGAGAGACGGCAGGTGAGGGGGTGGAGAAGCTTGGGCTGATATGTTCTGGTATGTGTTGGGATTACAGTTGAAATATCACTCTGATATACTATAAGAGTATGTCTCCCATTCCTCTGTTCTCAATGTAGGCCACCTGGGCCTAGAGACACTGTGAACCGCAAGGCCGTGGATGAGAACTACAACAATGTGTCACCGCCGAGTCAAGGCAGCCTGGCGGGGAAACTACAGCAGCTGCTCACGCCTACTCGCCATAGAGTCTCGGGGCGGCGGGCCGCCAGTGTAGACGCCCGGCGCACGGGGGGAGAAAATGGGACGGTGCGCAGGGTGTCGGAACAGAGACAATCCCGAAAAGCTCCGGTGGCTGAGAGCCTCCTGAAGGCTAAGGAGAGGCTCTACAATGCTACCTCTGAGGTGAGGGAACAACGTGGGTTGTTGTAGCTTATAGTCTAACTATACTGTATTGGCCAACTGATTTAGTTTACTGGGGTGAATGTATTTGCAGATGTAGGGAGAAATATTAAACCTGTCAAAACATGCTTAATGTTCCCACATCGTTTCCCTCTGTAGAGTTCTCTGTCGGTGGGGAGTGACATTGACCTGCCTGACACCACCAATTTGGCCTTTCCTCTCCGCAAGTCCTGGGACACCAACCAAGGGGGAGCGGGACTAGAGGTGTTGATGTCGAGCTGCTCCCTGTGTCGGAGCTGTAACTCCCTGGTCTATGACGAGGAGATTATGGCCGGGTGGACGTCTGACGACTCCAACCTCAACTCCAGCTGTCCCTTCTGCTCGACCACCTTTGTCCCCCTTCTCAACGCTGAGATCTGTGACCTAGGACCCGTCAGCAGGTAGGACTACTCCTCTCATCATAACATCACCCTCAAATTGAAGTGCGTCCCAAATGGCACCCTATTCCCTATATAGTGCACTACTTTTGACCAGGGCCCATAGAAGTCAAAACAATCCCTTCATTTTGACTCCTATTTATATTCAATCTGTCTATTCAGGGCCATATACAGTCCTTACCATACAGTGGGGGAAAAAAGTATTTAGTCAGCCACCAATTGTGCAAGTTCTCCCACTTAAAAAGATGAGAGAGGCCTGTAATTTTCATCATAGGTACACGTCAACTATGACAGACAAATTGAGAAAGAAAATCCAGAAAATCACATTGTAGGATTTTTTATGAATTTATTTGCAATTATGGTGGAAAATAAGTATTTGGTCAATAACAAAAGTTCTCAATACTTTGTTATATACCCTTTGTTGGCAATGACACAGGTCAAACGTTTTTCTGTAAGTCTTCACAAGGTTTTCACACACTGTTTGCTGGTATTTTGGCCCAATCCTCCATGCAGATCTCCTCTAGAGCAGTGTTTTTTTTGGGGCTTTTCCGCGGGCAACCCAGATTTTCCCAACTCCCCAAAGATTTTCTATGGGGTTGAAAATTTGGGAAAAAGGGGCTAGGCCACCCCGGGAATTTTAAAATTTTCCTTATTTACAAAGGGCCACTCCTTGTTGCCCGGGCGGGGGGTTTTTTGGGATCATTGTCATGTTTGAAAAAACCCAGCCCCCTTTCCACCCTTCAACCCCTTGTGTTTGGAAGGGGGTTTTTAATAAAAATTTCTCACGATCATGGCCCCATTCATTTTTTCCTTTTACCCCGGACATTGTCCTGGCCCCTTTGCAAAAAAACACCCCCAAAGCATGATTTTTTTCCCCCCCGGGCTTCACAGTAGGGTTGGGTTTTTTTGGGTTTGGAAAAACCTAGCTTTCCCTTTGTCCTCCAAACACCGACGATTTTAAAATTTTTTCCAAAAAGTTATTTTTTGGGGTTTCATCGCCCTTTTAGGGACATTCTCCCAACCCTCTTCGGGATCATCCAAATGCACTCTAGAAAACAACAGAGGGGCCGGGGCCCATGTATTTGGCTTAAGCGGGGGGAAAACCGCTGGAAAGGGCGGGTTTTGAGTCCCTGGCGGCGTATTTTTTAAATGATGGTAGGTTTGTTTTTTTTGGTTTCCCAGCTCTTTTCAGGCCCATTCACTGGGGGTCCCCCGGTGGTTTTGGGTTTTTTGTCACCGTTTTGTGATCATTTTGACCCCACGGGGTGAGATTTTTGGGGGGAGCCCCAATTAGGGGGGATTATCAGTGGTTTTGGGATGTCTTCCCATTTCCTAAAAATTTTGCTCCCACATTTTGTTTCCCTTCAAACCAAGCTGCTTCCCCATTGCAGATTAGTTCTTTTTCCCCAGCCTGGGGGCGGGGTCTAAAATTTTTTTTCGGGGTGCCCTTTTGGGACAGCCTTTGGTCTTGGCCATAGTGGATTTTGGAGTGGGACTGTTTGAGGTTGGGGAAAGGGGGGTTTTTTTTAAAATAAATAAAAAATTCAAACAGGTGCCTTTAAATCGGGGGAAACGAGTGGGGGACAAAGGACCCCCTTAAAAGAAAAATTTTTCTTTAAGGCCCTGTGAGACCCCAGAAATTTGCTTTTTTGTAGGTGCCCCAAATACTTTTTTTCCACCATAATTTCCCAAATAACTTCAAAAAAAATTTAACAAGGGTTTTTTCTGGAGAGAAAAAAATCTAAATTTTGGTCGTCATAGTTGAGGGGTTTTACCTATGATAAAATTACGGGCCTCTTCAATCCTTTTTTTAAATGGAAACTTGCAAAAATTTGGTTTTGGCTACAAAATATTTTTTTCCCCCACTGAAATTTTTTTGGGAAAGTAAAGGGCTACGGTTTTTACTGTCTAAATCCATTGTTTGAAGACTTTTTAATGTATGGGGACTGTAGGGTAGGTGAGGACTAAAATGTAGGGTTGAGGACTGTTGATTTTTTAAAAACTAATGAACGTTTAGCCCTTTTGTCACCCAACCCCTTCTTTTTTGACTCCCCAAAAAAAAGGGGCTCACCCCCGCCTGGAGGGGTTCCCAACTGGAACACGGGGAGGAGGGGAGAGTGCCCCAAAGCCCCCCTGGGGGCCAGGAGGCCACCCGGGGTTCACAACGGTTTTAGGGGGGATTTCCAGCTCTGAGCCCAGAAGCTATTCTGAAAAGCAGCAGGCTACCACGGTACTCTACCCAACACTAGTTATTTTTCATTTTTATCTGTCGGTTTCTGGGAATTTTCCCGTCTATAACCACATTTTAACGTGTTTTGACTCCGGGTTTTTTGTCGGGGGGGCCGGGGTCCCCGGGTGACGGGTGGGCCTCCCTGGGCCCGTTGGTGCTTCGCAAGGAGCTGGAACCCCCTCCCTGGGAAACAGGGCAGGGGGGTGCGGGCAAAAGGGCCACCCCTTGGACAGCCACCCACATTTTGGAACCTGGTTGGTATTTCCACCCGGGGCCCTGCCCACCCAACCTGCCGCTGGTCGGGCCCCAAAAACCTCGGGCCCAAACCCAACAGCACAGGAATTTTCGCTCCCAGGTTTATCTTGGGGCCTAGTGATTAATTTTTGGGCTTTAGTATTTTACAATCAAAAATGTCCTATACAATGTTGAGCCCCTGTCTGTGTGTAAAGGGGTTAAAAAGGGGGTGAGGGGGGGGGGGCCCCCCCCCCCCCCCTTCCCCCCCCTTAAATTTTGGGAAAAAAATAACCCCTTTTTAAAAGGTGGTTAAATTTTTTTAAAACCCCCCCCCCTTTTTTTCCCCGGGGGAACCCAACCGGGGGCCAAAACCCCCCCCCCCCTTTTTTTTGGGGGGGGCGGGGGGATAAAAAGGGGAAAAAAGGGGAAAACCCCCCCCCCGGGAAAAAATCGCCAACAACCAGGCCCCCAAAAAAAGGGGGGGAAACCCCCCCGGGGGATTACATTTTTTTTTTTTGGGAAAACAGGCCTTAAAAAATTCACACCCCTTTTTTTTTTTGGGTTTTAAAAAAAAATTTTTAAAAAAAAGTCACTGGCCCACACAAAAACCCCAAAAAAAATTAAATTTTTTTTAAAAAAAAAAAAATTTAAAAAAAAAAAATTTAAACCCCCCCCAAAAATTTTTTTTTTTTAAACCCCAAAAAAAAAAAAAAAAACCCAAAAAAAAAATTAAATTTTTTTAAAATTTTTTCCCCAAAAAACCCCCAAAAACCTTTTTAAAAAAATTTGGGGGGTTTTTTCCCCTTTTTTAAATTTTTTTGGAAAATTTTTTTAAAAAAAAAAACCCCCTTGGGTTTTAAAAAAAAAACCCCCCACCCGGGGGTTTGGGGTTTTTTTTTGGCCACTCAAAAGGGGGAAAAAACACAATTTTCCCCCAAGGTTTTGGGTTTTGGGGGGGGGTTTTTGGGGGCCCCGGGGGAAAAAAAAAATTTTTTTTTTTTTTTTTCCCCCCCCCCCTTTTAAAAGTTTTGGAATTTCCCTTTTCCCCCCCCACAAAAACCCCCCCCCCCCTTTTTCCCCCCCCCCCTTTAATTTTTTTTTAAACCCCTTTTTTAAAAAACCCTTTTTGGGGGGGGGGGCCCCCCCGGGGGGGGGGGGGCCCCCCCCCCCCCCCCCCCCTTTTTTTTTTTTTCCCCTTTTTTTTTTTTGGGGTTGCCCAAAAATTTTTTTTAAAAAAATTTTTTTTTTGGTTTTTTTTTTTTTAAATTTTGGGTTTTTTTTTTTTTTTTTTTAATTTTTTTAAATTTTTTTTTTTTACCCCCAAAAAAAATTTTGGGGTTTTTTTTTAAATTTTTAAAAAAAACCCAAAAAAAAATTTCCAAACCCAAAAAAAAAAATTAAAAAAAACCAAAAAATTTTTTAAAAAAGGGGGGGGTTTTTTCCCCCCAAAAAAAAAAAGGTTTTAAAAAAAAAAAAAAAAAAAAAAAAAAAATTTTTTTTAAAAAATTTTTAAAGGGTTTTAAAAAAAAAATTTGGGGTTTTCCCCCTCCCCTTTGGGGAAAAAAAAAAAAAAAATTTTTTTTTTTTGGGGGGAAAAAATTTTTTTGGGGGGAAAATTTTTTTTTTTTTTTGGGTTTAAAAAAAAAGGGTTTTCCCCCCAAAACCAAAAAACTGGCCCTTTTTTTAAAAAAAAATTTTTTAAAGGGGAAAACCAAAAATTTTTTCCCCCGGGGGTTTTTGGAAAAAAAAAATTTTTTGGGGGGCCCCCCAAAAAAAAAATTTTTTTTTTAAAAAACCGAAATGGGGGAAAATTTTTTTAAAAAAAAAAAAAAAAAAAAATTTTAAAAAAAAATTTTTAAAAGGAAAAAGGGGGGGAAAGGGGGTTTTTAAAGAAAAAAAAAATGGAAAAAATTTTTTCCCAAACAAAAAAGCCGGGGAAAAATTTTTAAAAATTTTTTAAAAAAAAACCCCCCCCGGTTAAAAACCCCCCCCAAAAAAAAAATTTTTTTCCCCAAAAAAAAAAAAGGGGGGGGCTTTTAAAAAAAAAATTTTTTTTTTTTTAAAAAAAAATTTTAAAAACAAGGGTTTTTCTTTTTTTTTTGGGAAAAAAAATTTTAAAAATTTTTTTTTTTTTGTTTTTTTTTTTTTTTCCCCCCCCCTTTGGGGGGGGGGAAAAAAAAAAAATTTTTTTTTTTTTTTGGGAAAAAACCCCCTTTTTAAAAAAAAAAAAAAAAATTTTTTTTAAAAAAACCCGGCCTTTCCCCCCCGGGGGGGGTTTAAAAGGGGAAAAAAAAAGGGGGGGGGCCAAAAAAGGGGGGGCCCCGGGGGGCCCCCCGGGGGGGGCCCCCAAAAGCCCCCCCCCCCAAGGGTTTTCCCCCCCCCCCCCCCAACCCCCCCACCCCCCCCCCCTTTTCTTCCCCCCCGGGCCCCCCCCCCAAAAAAGGGGGGGGGGAAAAAAAAAAAAAAAAAAAAAAAACCCAAAAAAATTTCCCCCCATTTTTCCCTTTTCTTCCCCCCCGGGGGCCCCCCCCCCCCCAAAAACCCCCCCAACCCCAAAACCCCCCCCTTTTTTTTTTTTTTTTTTACTTTCCCTTTAAAAAACCTTTTGGGTTTTTCCCCCCCAACCCCCCCCCCCCCCTTTTTTTGGGGGGGGGGAAAACCCCCAAAAAACCCCCCCCCTTTTTTTTGGTTTAAAAAAATTTTTCCCCCCCCCAAAAAAGGGGGGGTAATAAAAATTTTTTTTTTTAAAAAAAAAATTTCCAAACCCGCAAAAAAATTTTTTTTAAAATTTTTAAAATTTTTTTTTCAGGAAAAAAAAAAGGGGGGGGTTTTTTGGGGGGGGAAAAAATTAAAAAAAAAAGGGGGGGGGGAAAAAAAAAAAAAAATTTAATTAATTTTTTTTTTCCCCTTTTTCCCCCCGGCCCCCGGCAATGGAACCCCCCCTTTTTTTCCCCCAAACCCCCAGCCAATTCCAAAAAAAAGGGGGGGGGGGGTTTTTTTTGGGGGGGGGGGGAATTTTTTAAAAAGTCAAACCTTAAAAATTGGGGAAAAAATGGTTTTTAAAGGTTTTTTTAAAAAATTTTTGGGGGGGTTTTTTAAAGGGGGGAAAAATTAACCCCCGGGTTTAAATGAAGTTTGGGGTTTTTTGGGTTTTTGGGGGGTTTTTTTCCGGGGGGGGGGGTTTTTTGGGGGGGGAAAAAAAAGGGGGGAAAAATTAAAAAAAAAAACCCCCCGGGGGGGCCCCCGGGGGGAAAAGGGGGGGTTTTTTTTTTAAAAAAAAGGGGGGGGGGAAAAAAGGGGGGGGGGGAAAAAAACCCCCCTTTTGGGGCCCCCCCCCAAAAAAACCCCCCCCCCCCCTAAAAACCCCCAAAAATTTTTTTTTTTTTAAAAAAGGTTTTTTTTTAAAATTTTTTTTAAAAAATTTTTTAAATTTTTTTTTGGGGGGGGTTTTTTTTAAAAAAAAATTTAAGAAGGAAAAAAAAAGGGGGGGGGGGGGGGGGAAAAAAAAAAATTTTGGGGGGGGGGGGGGTTTTTTTTTTTTTATTTAAACCCCCTTTTTAAAAATTTTTTTTTTTTTTGGGGGGGGGGTGGTTTTTTAAATTTAAAATTTTTTGGGGGTTTTGTTTAAAAGGGGGGTTTTTCCCCCCCATTTGGGAAAAATTTTAAAAAACCCCCAAATTTAAAAACCGGGAAAATTTTTTTAAGGGGGAAAAAAAAATTTTTTTGGGGGGAAAAAAGGGGTTTTTCCCGTTCCCCCCCCCCTTTTTCTTTTTTTTAAATTTTTTTTTTTTCCCCAAAAAAAAGGGGTTTTTTTTTTTTTAAAAAATTTTTTTTTTTTTTTTCCTTTTTTTTTTTTTTAAAATTTTTTTAAAAAATTTTTTTTTTGGGGTTTTAAAAGGCCAAAAACCCCTTTTGGGGTTAAAATTTTTAAAAAAAGGGGGGTTTTGGGGTTTTGGGGTTTTTTTTTAGGGTTTGGGGGGGGGGAAAAAATTTTTTTTTTTTTCCCCTTTTTTTTAAAATGGGAAAAATTTTTTTTTCCCCCCCCCCAAAAAAAAAGGGGGGGTTTTTAAAAAAAAAAAAGGGAAAGACTTCCAAACCTTTTTGGAAAAAGGGGGTTTTGGGGGTTTTTTTGGAAAATTGGGTTCCCCCGGGGGGGGTTTTGGTTAAAAGGGGGTTTCTTTTAAAAAAACGGGTTTTGCCCAAAAAAAAAATTTTTTTTTTTAAAAGGAAAAAAAAAAATTTTTTCCCCTTTTTTTTTTTTTTAAAAAAAAAAAAAAAAACCCCTTTTTTCCCTTTTTTGGGAAAAATTTTGGGGGGGGAAAAAAGGGGGTTTTTCCTTTTGGCCCTTTTTTTGGGGGGAAAAAAAAAAAAGGGAATTTATTTTTTTTTTTTTTTTTAAAAAAAAAGGGGGGTTTTTTTTTTTTTTGGGTTTTTTTTTAAAAAGGGGGTTTTTTTTTTTTAAATTTTTTTTTTTAAAAAAAAAAAATTTGGGGGGCTTTTTTTTAAATTTTAAATTTTTTTTAAAAAAAATTTTTGGGGGAAATTTTTTTTTTTAAAAATTTAAATTTTAAAAAGAATTTTTTTTTAATTAAAAAATTTTAAAAAAAAAGGGGGGGTTTTCCAAAAAAGGGTTTTTTTTAAAAAAATTTTTTAAAAACCCCCCCAAGGGTTTTTTTTTTTAATTTTTTTTAAAAAAAAGGAAAAAAAAAA